TGTAATGTTTCTCTCCTGATAATGCCTCAGCGGGGTCAGGAAATATGTAAATACTACATGTTAAAAATAAATGAATGAATGAATGAATGAATGCCCCCCTAACATATACAGTGGCTATACTGTTAACTTAAACTCTGGATGAGTCCATTTTTGAATTGTCCCCCTTAACAATCTAATTTCCCCCCTATGGGGCGTGGGCCCCACGTTGGGAAACACTATTATAGACAAATTGTATTAAAACGAAAGTAATTTCTTATGGTCTTCGTGCAATTTGGTTAAACCAGTGCGATCTGTTCTCTCATTAAACGTCCAAAAAACTAGTTAGTTAATCGATCTATATAACTGACATATGTCATACGCTCCATACGTTTAAGTTGCATTATTCTTTGAAATTAATCATTTTTAATATTTTATTTTAATAGAAGGGCCTATCCCGTATACGTTACTTAATGTAAATTTAGAAAACTGTAGTAAACCTGGAAGACATTTTTTAATAAACTTTTCATACGACGGAACTTACGAATATATTCATTTAAAGCTTTTAATTTACGGTAAGGTTATATAGTATGTGTATATAGGCCTATATATATTTTAAGTTGGAATTTCAACTTATTAAAAGTTTGAAATATTATTTACAGGACAGTTCACTAATACTTTTGACCTACCGATATTTATCGACAAGAACTCACGTCTCCATTATATGATTGAAAAACTTGCTGGTAAATAAATTTTACATAGAATTTATACAGTATTTTACACAGAATAATCGTACGTTTTTACTTAAAGAAAACTATTATTCCGTCTTTTGCATCTTTCTTATGAAGCACGAAGACAAGAATTCGATGATAACTATTCAGTTCAAGTATCTTACAAATAATATAAGGATATGCGACGTTGAACTTCTGTCAAGAAAAGGTTTAACTTTAATATGCTTTAATTAATTATTATTTAGCTCCGAATATATTCTTTACTATTATTAAAATAATAAAAATAGAATTAGAATTATTCACAATTGGTGAATTATTCAGATGAATTTACTGGAGTGAACTGGAAATCTTCTCCATCTTCTGCATTATACAGTTCTCCATTCTAATCCTCGTTCTACAATTATCTGTTGTAATCCTGTTTTATATTTTAATTAAAATAATAATTATAACGATTAAAATATAATTAAATATAAGTAAACTATGGTAATGTGCTAGCTAACGATAGATCGAGTTGCATCCAATGCAAGAGAATACAGGGTATAAGCAAACAATTCATTGCAAAATATTTTAATTAATAAAACTTTTACTAGGAAATGTATTTTTATTAAATCTGATTTCAGTAAAAGTAGACATATGTATATATATAAATATATATTTTTTTCTATTTTCAGGCAATAGTATTTTGAATGAACTAGAAATGAATCCGATATCGGAGGAACAACTTGGAGAACGGCTACAAAATACGGAATCGGATATGTTTACTGCTGAACCGTGGAATAGACAATTATACAAGAAGAAATCAAATCCATTGCTGAATGCTGCAACCCGAATAAAGACTCATGGAAATACCCCTTCGAATGGGGCCAAAAACCACCATCGGATTTTAAACTTTTAAGTGTCCTTACATCGAGGATGATCCTGACGATGATCCCGGACATAAAATTACTTAGGAAAGGATATCATAAAAAAGGGAGGATTAACAATAAAATAACCGAAAAAGGGAAAAAAATATAGGGGCCTATAACAAATATGATGTCAAAAAACTTTTACTTTCCTTATTCTGCTATATATAAAAGAGAGAAAATGTGGTGATAGATCAAAAATGACTCCTTCAAAATTTTTACATATTTAGACTTAGGGGACTTTGGAACATCGAGAAATGCAAAAAAATTTTGGGGTTTGTTCTGCATGTGTAGATGTTAATGTATGTGTGAGGGGCACGATTATGTTCATCAAATATCAAGCTTAATAACTCCCATGCTATTTGTCGGAAATCTCTGAAATTTTGCAGGAAGGGTTCTGTATTAGGGTGATTGATTATATTAAATTTGGGTGATTAAAGATCAAAGAGGTGGCGATATAAAAAGTAATGTGTAATATCTCGAGTAGGTTCGAACTTAACAAAGATTTTACTCGTTATTAGCATTTACAAGTTTTTACAAAACTCATCCCTACCCTCAAAAGTATGCTTCTTAATGTTTTATAATAACTAACTAGCTGTTACCCGCGACTTCGCCCGCGAAAATTTTGCAAGCAAACCCCATTTATATTCAGTGTTTCAACAACCATAGTAATTGTTATATAACATGTACCACTGAAGAGAATTGCCGAGAATCAAACGAACTATTTTCAATTTGATCAATTTTCTGGAACGTTTACAATCTAAATACAGTACTGTATATAAAATTGCTTGTCCTGACTGACTGACTGACTGAATGACTCACTCATTCACTGATTCATCATCGCCCAGAGCAGACCGCTTAACCTAAAGAGGTGAAATTTGGTAGATAGGGTACGTAATGGAAACGCTCACTAAGAAGGGATTTTTCGAAATTCCCCCGCGGGGGGAGAGGGAGAGCATTAAGGCTTAACTGGAACAACGGCTTCTACTGTACTATTTTAGATGCGATTTTTGGTTTTTATCTGCGTTTTAATAGAATATACCATGGCAATGCACACTAAGAAGGAATTTTTCAAAATTCCCCCGCGGGGGGAGAGGGGAGGACTAAGGCTTAACCGGAACAACGGCTTCTACTGCACTATTTTAGATGCGATTTTTTGTTTTCATCTGCGTTTTAGTAGGGTATGCCATGGCAATGCACACTTGGAAGGGATTTTTCAAAATTCCCCAGCGGGAGGAGAGGGAGAGCATTAAGGCTTAACCGGAAGAATGGCTTCTACTGTACTATTTTACATGCGATTTTTTGTTACGTTTAGTTTTCATTAAGTACTTAAGTATATTAAATTAATAACCTTTCAGACATTGTTATAAATATTTTTATATATTTCGATTTTTTAACCAAATGTTCGAACCTTTTTAAATTCGAATTTGTTATTGCGTATTGGTTC